AGGAATTGAAAACATATTTATTGTCTCAGAATTTGGCAAAAATAAAACCAAAACTTGGTAGCATTTTCCAAATGGTAATAGGGCCTCTGAATACATTTGTGGACATGATCATGGATCATTCTAATATGGCATAGAGGGACAGAGTAATAATGATCTTCATAGGATCTATGGTTTTTAATTAAGTTTTTATGGAAGTGTACTGTCTTTTGATAACTGTTGCTAGCTGAGTAAGGGCCCCCCTCCCCATTATCCTAAAGCCTACAGTATATCAGAAAAAAATCTTATTTAAGACCACCACATATTGATAAAATGGATGAGAATAGAGGCAGATACAAACTTAGATTATCTTTTGCAGTCTTTGGGGGAGTTAGGGAAAATGGTAGTTAAGAAGATAAATTACAAAACACTTGGATTTGAGTACAGAAATTTTGAGAATCAGGGGATTTGTATACCATCTCGTGCCACACTGAGTCAGAAATGTGTTGCAGAAGCCTTACCTTCTGCAGTTTAAGCTTTAAATAGTTAGGCATAGTCTAAATATATTTTCCTAATGCTGAAAATAATAAAGCCTCACACTCAAGAAACTTTAACAGGAGTGGGAAGGGCCTCCTGGGCCACTGAATCCAGTTTTGTGAGTTTGCAGGCAATTGGTAACCCAAGAATTGCCAGAATCACCACTCTGACCTTCAGACACAGCTACAAGGCACAACACTGGAAACACCAAGAACACCCTACAACGTGCCACGGAGAAAACTAGAGACATCAAGGGCACTGCCGGTGCTCTGGTACTGCAGTGACATGGACATAGTTTAAACAATATAAGTTAAAAAAAATTCTAGGAAGAGACCCATGCCCAACTCAAGAGAGGAAAGCAGAACCCCTCACTGTCCTTGCAAGAGCGGAAGGGGAAAAGTTATTTCCTGGGCCCAGGTTTGGGAATCCGTGGGTGCATCTACACGAGACATTTACTGCACAGTTTACTAACTAACTGCACAGTAAATGTCTTGGTATCTATATGTGCATGCCTATTAGGGTACACAAAGCTAATAAACTCTGCAGCAAGGTAGTACTTGTAAAATACAAGAACTACCTTGCTATCAAGTTTTTTTGTGTGCAGCAGTGCACATGTAGATGCTGTCTCAACTGGCAGGGACACAGGGTTTTTCAGTGCGGGGCTAGCCAGGAAGCAGCCTTCACACTGAATCACCCTCATGCCTCAGTGAGCTGCATTGCAGCATGTAAAGCTCAGTTGGAGCAGCCCTGGACTGGCAGGCTGACCTCCCAGATCCCCTGCCAGCCCAGGCTGTTCAGACCAGGATCCATGTGCTGCACACAAGTGAACTCCAGAGAAATATGCTCTGGAGATTTTGGTTCCCAGGCATACATTCAAATGGCATGCCCAGGAGCAAAAAACTCCACAGCAATAAGCTCTGAATGTATTTGTGCACATTAATCACGCTTGTAGATGTGTCTAGTTTGACCCTGACTGGCATAGCAAGACTCCAGGCAGGAACCTCTGAGGTTTTGGTTTTTTTTTTAAGTACCGTCAAAAGCAGCAATATGCTCCAGTCAAAACTCCCAAACCTCAGCTCTGGCCAATTTTCCAGTGCTTGAGAGAAAAGTAAAGAAATAAAAAAGCCCAGGAGCCCTCTTTTGCAGAGGGAGGGGGCAGGAGAGGTTGAATTACTTGCTTGAACATACAGACCACCACCAAAAGCCTGGAAGTTTGGAGATATGTAAAATTTAACAACAAAGCCTGGAAGTCTGGAGATATGTAAAATTTAACAACAACATGGATTTTATGAAGAGAATACTTGCTTTCAATACAGAAACTTTTGACAAATATATTCTCTTCAATTGCAAAAAAATCCATCAATATTAAAATTAACTCAGTTCTTTCCGTGATGTGATGCCATATCACCTCAACCATTAGAAACAATGGTGTGTGCTCATTGTCTATCTTGCTAATACTCTTTGCCAAATCTTGTTTGAGGAGGGCCAGCTTCCAGTACCTGCCAGGTGTTTACTTCAGTTAATTGAATACTTCTACATCAAGAACTTGGGAGTATTCTACCTGTCCAGACATTGCAAGAGCCTAGTAGTTTTTAGGATATTAAGTAAGACTTTTTTATTGAATTAAATTGATTACATGTTGCTTGCTTGCAGTAGCTTACAAATGGGTCAACTTTTCTAAATCACTCTGGTCAAGGGCAGGAATAGCAAGCCCTCCCAGGCTCTGAACTCAAAGGTCTGAGAATGGCATCTCCATAGCAGAGGTATTTTCTGGGTCACTGAAGAGTATGGAAGCAACTCGTTCTCTTCTTTCTATGTCCCAAGCCAGATTCTCAAAACTCATTTGACTACTGGGTGGCATCATGGGGAAGTGACTGGTCCTTCCTGTATTCTGGGGTGGATATATTTCTTTTGTGTCAAGACAGGATGATAAAATGCTTCACAACTATAACGCACAAGTTTGCCCAAGCTGAACTCTCAGGTGGCTGGTTTGGACAAGTTCAGATTCTGTTTTAATTCTTCACTCAGCCTTAGTCCATGCCAAGTCAGACAGTCTCTTCAGGTACATGAACTCTAGCTCAGACTGGAACTTTATCTTTCGCTGCCTGCAGATGGCTTACACAAATTAACTTTTTCCTTTGCTGGCTGGCTTCCTCAGAACCCAAGCTACTTTTCTTGAGCTTTGTGTGCTGCAACCTCACCCTGCCTTAAGGCAGGCTTAGGCCAGTTGTTTATATGTAAACAGATGGCACACTCCACCTGTACAAGTGTTTGTTTTTGCATAGCTAGCAGATAACAGGGTTGTAAATTTTATTGCTAAATATTATAAACATAGGTACAGCATGTTTTTCCTGAGTGTTTATTCTGATCTTGCTTCCACCAGTTTTATATTATGTTACAGTGTTACCTATGACTTAAAGATAGTTTTAGTTTGATTTGTCTGAATATATATTTAACAAAGAAAGCTTAACTGTATTTTGCTCTCCTAAGAGTAATAATGCAGGATAGGATACACAAAGGACTAAATTAGTCCTTAGTTGTATTCCACTGTTTCAATTAGTGTTGCACCAGAAATTAGTTTGGCCACATTAATTACAAATGTATACTGCTGCAAACATGCCTACTTAGTCCATGACTATGCATGAGATAGGGTAACACAGGTCAAAGCTTGAATCTCTCTGTTTCTTTCTCATGAATTTGTCTTTCTAGGCTTCAGTTAGTAATGAACCATCATTCCCCCTGTCCCTTTTCACTTTGCAGAAACTTCAGTCACCACCACAAGGACCTCTCTTTACCGTTCTGGTTGCATGGTCTGTGCTCTGCACAGTTTAACCACAGCAAAAAAGCCCAGGACCTGTGTTCTGCTGGATCTGTCTGGTATGTTAAACAGAATGTTTAGAGGTCAGTCAGAAATGGCGTATTTGGTTTGAAAGGAGAAAGAATAGTTACAAAATGTTGTTCAGCAATTACTGTCAACACTCTTAACATTACTAAAAATACATTTCAGTACTTTTACTTAACTTGGAGTTCCCGTGAACTGTAGTGTTGCTCACACTAGGCTTCCTAAAATCTGAACATCTTACTTTCAAATAGTATCTGAAAATATAGGTTAATAGTTCTGGGAAGAAACAAAAACCAAGAACTCTGACTTCCAGAGAAAAGCATATCCAGGCTTTCATAAATGTATTTTTTTTTAGCCTAAAACAGTTAAATATTAATACATTTTCAGGGTAATTCAGGAAAAATAACACTTGTAGGACAATAAATGGGAAAGTCAAGATGAAGAAATACCTCTGCAATTCAATTGAAACTAGAACCAACACAGGAATTGTGATAGTTATACTACTGATTTGATTAGTATACAACCACCTTCCTAGGTACTTCTCAAATATTATTCTCAATTTAAAAATTCAAGGGCTAAACATTCAAACAGGGCCTCCAAGCTCGTGCCTTTAATTTTCCATGAAAAAGTCATTGAATTCCTATTTATATTTCTCCACCCAAAAAAACATCAACTACACAGAGATTTATGCAAAAATGTAGATATAGGAAAAAAGTTTGCAAATAGATGATGGTAACTACAAGTTCAAAGGTTTACCTTAAGTCCCCTTAATATTAGGATTTAAATATGCCTTCAAAAGGTAACCACCAAGAAGAAAATATGTATTAGAGAATGATAAATGTTATTTTATTCCTAACAGCAATAGCAATGACTCCATCTTCACTTTTGCTCAATCAGAATTAGCCAGATGAACAAAAGTAACCTCTTCCAGAAAACAGGATTACAGATTTATAAAGATCTCTTTATTGTTAAATTATTGCATAACTACAAAGGAAATGTGGATTCTTACATGTATTACTGTAATTTTCCACATTTTAAGATAATTAATATATTCTAATTGACATTTACTGCCCGTGTGTCTTGCTCATTCTCACTAATTTTCTATACCATATGTTTTTAAGTAAATATGTTCATTGCAGTTATGCTTATGATAGTATAAAATATATTTCTATATTGCATTCTATATTCTATATGGAATATAATATATGTATTCTTTACTTTCTTTTTATATTGTCTTCAGTGCTGAGCACAATGAAAAGTGCAATAGAATGTTACATTACTTGCCATTCACTCACTACTCATCTACTAACAATGAGAAGTGATTTGTAAAAGAAAGAAAGACTGAAACTGAAGGTATACTAGGTGTTAATGTTACCATCTGTAATAGCTGACTGTCTCTAAAGATTCTTATTGCAGACATTTAAGATCATAGAAAAGTAAGGTTAGAAGCTTCCTCATGAGATGATCTACTTTAGCCCCCTGCTTAAGGCAGGATCACCTGTGATTAAACCATCCCAGCCAGGTGTCTGTCTCACCTACTCTTAAATATTTCCAGGGCTCTCCTAACAGTGTTTAGATATTTACATACTTGTTGGTTTCTAGTGCTACAGTGTCTTTATCCTTTCCAAACTTTTATAGATGTTGAAAATCAAGCGCAGCAGTACTTAAAATAAGGTGATAGGAAATAGCTTAGCCGTAGGAGTCCTATAAAGCCTTCACCCCCAAAGTCAAAACAATTACAGTATCCTCTACAATTTGTATACGGTCCATTCTACTAGCTGGGCACATACCCACTGAATTTCAAAATCCTCATTGTGAAGCTGGAAAGTCTTTATAGTGAATGAGGGTTCGGTCCTCCAAAATCCTTGAAGGAAAAACCCCATTCACAGGAATGAGCAGTGTTTAAGTATGCTTGTAAACAAGGACTGTTCATGCAAACAAGTGCTTGCAGTTTTGGATCCCAGCCCCTTTCTGGGGTTATTACAAAGTGGAGAGGGACACACATCTTGAAGGACTGTACTAGGGAAATGATTCAATGTTGTACAATAACATTTAAAGTATGCTCAGTTGAAAAAAAGAGCAAAGTAGCTCATCCAATAGTTGCATTATTCCTGACTCTAAAACCAAGATTTCAGTTGATGTTAGCTGTGTAAAGCTGAACTTCTAAAACCTAACACACAGTACTGCACATTAGTATCTTAGGTTTTCTCCCTCTTTCTTGTGTCCTCTCCATCAGCTGTTTCTTCTTAGGAAACTGCCATGCAGACTGCTGAATACACTTAACTCCCAGGAGTATGTCAATCATAAATTTATATATTGCAAGGCCAGAAAGAATTAACTTGATCATCTAATAGGATCTCCTGTATAGCATAGATTGTAGAATGCGGTTTAATTCCTGCTTGAAATTAGCATATCTGTGCTGAAAATTTCCATGTCCTTATCAAGTGGTCAAAAAAGTAACTTGCTACATGTTTTCAAAATTTTTGTTGGTTTTTTTAAAGTAGGAGTGCACAGACGGGTCTGTGGAAGGAGGCAGTCTAATGGGATATCTCAGCAGGTGTGGTCCCATGAAAAGAAGCAGGTGTAGGAACTCTGATTTCTATTTATGGCTCTTCCAAGAAGTTGCTTGTGGGTAAATCACTTAATAACTCTGTATTAGTGTGTAAAACATTTAAAAAACAATATCAATAGCTTTTTTAAAATCCTGAGTGGTCAATGTCTTTACATTGCTTAGGGGGCAAGGATTTCTTAGAGTGATATCTTTTACTGGACCAGCTGTATAGTTGGGATAGAGTTAGACAAGCTTTCGAATGCAAGACATTCTTCTTCAGCCACTCTAATAAAATATATCACCATAAGAAATCTTTGTCTTGCGTAATTTCTGGACCATGGCACAAACACCACTCTTTACACTACTAACAAATTATAATGGCAGTATCACATTCACAGATGCATTAAATCTATGCAGCTAGAGATCAAAATCTTGCTTTTTGTCATAACAGGCACATCAATATAGATTTTGAGATACTTTCACTTCCTACATTGATGCCAGCGCACCTATATTAACTCCCTAGAAACATTTTGATTGGATTTTAATACTTAGCAGGGATGTCTACAGGTGTAATTATGTCAGCTGAAATTTACTGTGCAGTAAGAATCTACACATGCAAGTGTTAAAGCACATTGATACTGTGTGGACTGACTTGGGACTAAAGCTAGTCCTAAGTCAGTCCACACATGCAGTGTTACTGTGCAGCAATGCATCTACATGTGCGTTACTGTGCAATAATGAATTGGGCAGAAATTGTATCAAATTTACACTGAAGTTGGTATAAGGTGCCATGTTTACTGCCCAGTATGGACATGCACATGTAGATGTGTGCCCATACTGCGCAGTAATTTTGGTTACTGAGCAGTAAATGCACACATGTAGATGTACACAGTGAGGAATAATTGAAAGTTAGTATTACTTACATTGCATCCCATAGAACTAGATACCTGAATCTAGTTTTATACAATACAATGTTCACAAGACTCAAAACTCTTAATTGATCATCTCATATAGTTGTTTTTGATGCGAACTAAGAGGTTTAACCAAAAAAGGAAGCAAAGCTAAAAGCACAAATACATTCCTTTCAGGATTGATGTCCTCTAGAAGAAGCCTAAACCTATATATTGATTTGTTTTTGTTTTTTTAATGATTGATTGCCAGAGCATATTAGAGAAGTCTGCTGTTTGCAGGTACTAATCAAGCTATGGGCCAGTGTTTCTGTGTGGATGTTGAGACATTTGGACAGGAAAATAAATGTAAAATGCAGCTGACTTCATTCATTTTTAATGAACTGAGCATACAATCCCATACTGTCAAACTCTTGTACAAATCCATAGCTTCAACAGCCTCTGCCATAAGAAGTATCACCAACTTTGTAACCTTGGACAAGTCAATTAATCATTATTCAGTGATTTTCAAATACCCAACTGAAAGTAACTACATAATTACAACAGGCAGTACCTTTGCAGGACTAGCATCTATGAAATAACTTTTATAAAACATTTTTGCATCACTGATATGTAAATAAATAAAGAAGAACTAAAAATATGCAAATAAAATACATGGAGGAAAATAAAACATCCTAGCTTTTGCCAACTTAGATCCAAGTAGCTGTAAGGGTACTTAGTCAAGTTTTGCCAGGAATCCTGCAGATTAATTGATTTTAACTGGGCTGAACTGTCAAGTTTGATTTCGCAGGCTTGCCCAGCTTTTTCAGTCTGCCTCTAGGTTTTTGACTCCAATTGGTAAAACTGGCAGGGGAAGCAGTAAACACTCTTGGTGGGGAGCTCAAGAAAAACTTGTTTTTGCTTGAGTGGGTACAAAATGCTTATCAGAATTTACTGAGCTAAGAAAAAAAATGGTAAGGGCAAGCAAAAGAAAGTGCTGGCTTATACTTCATTTAAGATTGTCATCTATTGAGGAATTATTTGAATTTATGCATTTAAAATTTTCTGCTTATTACAGTTTGGGGGATATAAAATTGAGATGGTGCTGTCTTTTCTTCTTGTCAGGATGGAGTATAAAACTGCTTAATTATTCTGAATACATATTAAAAAGACAATTTAGAAAGGTATGTTTAGAAGGATTGTGTCTAGGAACTACCTGAAAAAGAGAGGAGTTGTAGGAAAGAAATAATATTTATGTCTACATACAAGCAGGTATAACTTAATTCCTTTGTTTATAATAATAGAAATCCCTGGCTATCCTGTAACAATCTCCCAACAAGAAAACCACATTCCATAACAGAAAGAAGTACATTGGGAAGGAAGTAATGTAAGATTTCTTAGCTGTAAGGAGAACCTTGAAAAGGAGTTTGATGCCTGAAGAAAAAGAAGTAGCCATGGGGTCAAGTACATACAAATAGCAGTGGTTACCTTGCTTCATTGCTTGTTGTATTAAGCTGTTTTGTAATTAAACAAATGCTGAGGGCTGATATTTGCTCTGGGCACAGGCTACATACACAGTTAGCTGACATTCTACATA